GACAATAACCCTAGATGTCTATTTATATAGACCCCCTTCCCTAATCCGCCCATCATGCATTAAGAAAAGGTCCAACGGTCTCTACACATAAAACTAAACCCATATTCTATAAAAAACGTAATAAGTCCAACAATAATAATTACTTAAATGGATCACTTTATTTTTGGGGTAAACTATATGATAGCGTATAAATACAATCATAATCGTATAGTCCACATACGTTATTTTATTTAGGTCCATAAATTTCTTACAATCTCCCACTTGGACCAAATACAATTACATGTTTGTGATTCTTGATAATTGCATTATACTTTAAAACTTTATGAGCTCAGATACTATCATTTTCAGACGTCTTTAAGCAATTCAGTCCATCAATTATATTAACATAGAGTCAAAGCAATCTAAGCTACAATTAAAGTAACTAGACCCATCAATGGCCACAATGTTAACACAATCAACGACATGAATCAAGCATAAGTGTGTAGCATGGGAATAACATACATGTGATCCAAAATGTCTATTTCCAACTGGTCCACTTTACACTTTTGCAAGATCACGTACAATATGATCTAATAGAAGAGTAAACCAAATTGAATACTCTATTTCTGCAGAAAATACTTAAAACCACAATATTCAAAATGTGTTTATATTATACAAGCAATAAAATAACAAACTCCCACTGAAACTATATATCATTAGGTGGCATGATTCCTATACAAGCAGTGTGCTCATAAAATACTTTGGGTGGTAAACCCTTAGTAAGCGGATCCGCAATCATGGAGTTTGTGCTAATATGGTTTAAGGACAATTGTTTACTCTCCACTCTTTCCTTCACAACTCTAAACTTGACATCAATATGCTTTGATTTTGTCAAGCTTTTGTTATTGTTGGCATACAATACTGCTGACCTATTGTCACATAGCAATTTGAGTGGTCTATCAATATCATTTACTATGCGTAGACCTGTGACAAAATTCCTTAACCATAATGCATGGTTGGATTCCTTATAACAAGCTATGAATTTTTCTTACATGGTGGAAGTAGTTGTAAGTGTTTGTTTGACACTTTTCCAAGAGACAGCTCCTCCAACTATGACAAAGATGTAGCCAGATGTGGATTTCAAGCTATCTTGACATCCAACAAAGTCAGAGTCAGTGTACCAAATGATCTCAAGTCGATCTGACCTTTTGTAAGTGAGCATGTAATCCTTTGTTATCTGCAAATACCACATAACCCTCTTTACGGCTTTCCAATGATCAAGTCCTGGATTGCTTAGATATCTTCCCAACATTCCAACAATGTATGCAATATCTGGACGGGTACAAATTCGGGCATACATAGGGCTCCCTACAGCTGATACATAAGGGATCTTCTTCATTTCCTTATTCTGAAAGGCATTCTTTGGGCATTAAGTGAGACTGAACTTGTCTTTCTTAGCCACAAGGGTATCACCAGGTTTATAGTCTTGCATGCCAAACCTTTTCAAAACTTTCTCGATATAGCCCTTTTGTGACAATCCAAGAGTGCCTAGATGGCGATCCTCGATGAATTTTTATCCCTAACACAAAAGATGTAACACCCTAGAAATTCCTTTCCTTTAAAATTCCTGTTTTGCCCTTTTAAAATACGAATTAAGAAAATCTAAGACATTACCACCACCGTGAAAACGGCTAAGACAAATATCAAAGACACATAGCGAAAGACTATCTTTAAAACCATTCAAACAAGTCAACTCAAAAGTTAAACCAAACGAAAGTAAAGTCAAACAAAGTCAACCTACAATTTGGAACCATTATAGGCCCTTAAAACCAGACAGTACTGAAAACCTTTACGTTAATCTCACGAGCATAATAAAATAAATAATACTCAAAGCAAATAAAACACATCACATTCCTATGAGAACTAAGCATGAATTGCTCTTCACTCAACCCCATCATGAAAATGCTTCATCACCTGAAAAACTTCTCTCTACTTGTCCCCACTACTCACCATTAGAAATGGGTCGTCGTAGGGCCATGGTAAAGACAAAGCCAAACAAACATACAACACACAATCAACAATGTTGAGCACATAAGCGTAATAAAACACACTAACATGCTTTCATCCTATCGTCATACAACTTATCTTGTTGCACCTGTAAACAAGCATACAAGACATTCAACACTTAACTAGACAAATACAAATGTCCATTTAATTTGATTACGCATCGAACGGGTTTCCATCCAAATCCCTGCCCCAAATAAATTGAGGTAAACTACACCGAGAGCTAACCGGGTAGGCAAATGTCACATGAAGTGTCTGGAAGTCCTATGCATAACAATAAATAAAAAGAAAAATACAGCGTTTGGTACTCGCATAACTCTCCTTATATGTTCATACTCAAGGTATATACGTTCCAAGAGTTTTGGTGCGTAATCTCTTTCACTTTACGTTGTTTACATATAATTATACTTGGTGATGACTCTCAAACCATAACACAATCAAACATTATAATTCATTCAAGCAATCAAACATACCAATTTAATTCTTAAATAGTTAGTGACCACATACATTTAATAGTTGAACCCTTTTTAATCTACCTTGGTGTCAAAGACACCTTAAACGCATAGGCACCGCAATATAATCCCTCGGTGTTAAATAACATCTTAAGTGCACATAGGCATCGCAATATAATTTATTCATGTGTACTAAGACACTTAAATAGCTCATTCCTCACGCTTATAACATCAAAAAAAATTATATGTATCATAATAAAATTCCCTTTTCATAGTCCAAACCAAATTAAACAATTAGTTTAATTAAACATGCTCTCTATCATGCCAACAATAAAAGTGTGGTTCATAATCAACATGTCAACATAATTAATTCCAATCACCAATTCATCATAAACAATTCATACATCACAAATCATTTACTAACATCAATCCAATCAACCAATTCCAACCAACACCTATCATGATACTACTTGGAATTAATTAAACAAAGCCTAGCATGCTTCTACATATTCAAATAATTACCAAGTACGCGAACGTACCTTGAATATGATCTCAAAATCGCCACGACTAAATAAAATCACTCACTTGGAAGTCTCCTACAAACCAAAATTACAAAGAGGCATTAATACCTATTTCACACAAATTTCTAGCAATATATACACTCTTTAAATCACTCATAAACCCTCTAAAACAAGTTGAAATTTAATTTAAAACCCTTAATTTTATTCTCAATCAATGGGTAAGTAAAAATCCTTTCAAGAAACATAATTATAGCTTATATATAAAAATTCCAGCTTTATTAAATCATCTAAAATTGCTGTAATTGTGTTTTAAAACACTTATTTCAATAATTTAAATCACCCATAAACAATTTCCATCAATATACATAAATTTAGAAACCTAGGGTTTATAATTTGGGGCTTTTTAATTCAAAACCACATCTGAAAATTTATATACAAAATACTTATCATCAAACATCATAAAAATCATCACAAAACCCAAAAACAATAATTAGATCAAGGCTAGATTAGGATTAAAAACAAAATAATAATTTTTTTTGTTCGGCCACCAATAGCCTGACACCATAGTAGGCTGCTGCCGCATGCCTGCTAGTAGTGCCGCTGCTGTCGTTGGCGCCTGCTGGTGGCTACGACGGTGGCCAGCGGCGTGTGTTGGTGGTCGACGTGTGGTGGTGTGTGTGGATGGTGATGTAACAAAATAAAAATAAAGGGGAATGGGAAAAATTAAGAGAAAAAGAGAAAAAATAAGAGGAGAGAGAAAGAGAGTGACCTTTGGGTATTCTCCACCTTGGGCAAAGTTTAATTTGCCCATGTGATGGGTAATTATACTCCCTTTTCTAAAACCCTCATAGACTTAAATTCCCTTTTTACCCTTAATGATCTCTTTCCTAGTCAAACTAGTATTTTGACTTTCTTTAAAAACTCATTGACTTTAAAATTTCCTTTTATAAAACAATATGCCCCAAAATTTCCAAATCATGAAATAAAATATTTTCAAAATTGTTAAATAATTAAAAATAAACTTTTAATTAAAATAGTTCTTTTTAAATTAATGAAACACCATAAATAATTCATTTCGAATTATTTTAATATTTTATGAAATACTTATTTAAGTTAAAATACTTATAAAAATACGGGGTATTACAAAAGAGGCATCCCCAAGATCTTTCATCTCAAAGTCATTTGATAGAAATCTCTTGGTTTCGTGCAAATAGCCTATATCGTTGTTAGCAAGCAATATGTCATCAACATATAAAACTAAGAAAACATGCTTACTCCCACTAAACTTATGGTACACGCAATTAGCAACTGCATTTGTCTCAAAACCATGAAACATAACAACTTGACGAAACTTAAAATACCATTGACAAGAAGCTTGTTTGAGTCTATAGATAGATTTGTTTAATTTGCAAACCATTTTCTTTGAATCTCCTGAAACAAAGTTTTCTGGCTACTACATATAGATGGTTTCCTCAATGTCACCATTGAGAAATGCTGTCTTAAAATCCATCTTATGTAACTCAAGATCATAATATGCTACAAGTGCCATCATAATCCTAAAGGAGTCTTTAAAAGAAACTGGTGAATAAGTCTCCTTATAATCAATGCCTTCCTTTTGAGTATAGCCCTTAGCAACAAGACGAGCCTTATGCCTTATCACATTGCCATTTAAATCCCTTTTGGTCTTAAATATCCATTTACAACCAATGAATTTCATACCTTCAAGCAATGAAACAAGGTCCCAAACGTCATTGTCCACATGGACTTAATTTCCTCAGTCATGGCATCAATCCACTCTTGAGAGTTAGGGCCTTTAATGGCTTGGTGAACGGTGATTGGATCATCATCCACCATTTCATTATCCAACTCTTGTTCTTGAAGTAGTGCAACAAATTCTTCACTAATTTCATTGTTATCCTCTTATTCTTGGAGAAAACAATGTAGTCATATGAAATTGCACTTCTTCTTTCTCTAGTGGATCTCCTTAATGGCACTGGTTCTTAAAGTTGTTGAGTTTGTTCATTAGGAATTTTGGTTGATTTTGAATAAGGGAATCATTTTGAGTTTCTGGAGTTGTTCCTTCAATCATGTTAGGAATGGATGTCTGATCATAATTGATGACAACTAAAGGAAAAGAAACTTGTTCCTCTTCAAAGATAAACTCTTTAACCTTATCTTCCCCTCCAAACTCAACATCTTTAAAAAATCTAGCATTTTCCGTCTCAAAAATTGATCTAGTTGTGGGATCATAAAACTTATACCCTTAGACCTTTTAGGATACCCAACAAAGTAACAACTAACAGTTCTAAAGTCCAGTTTCTTTTCATTTATACTGGATTTCTTACCAGTCCATAGTTCATAAGGGTTGCCTTAGTTGGTACTCTATTGTGAATATAAGTTGCGGTCTTAATTGCCTCTCCCCAGAGGGATTCCGGTAAGATAGAGTGACTAACCATACACCTTACCATCTCTTTTAATGTTTTATTGCGCCTCTCAACTACACCATTCATGTGAGGTGATCTTGGCATGGTGTATTGAGGGACAATTCCACATTCCTCAAGCAATTTAGCAAATGGCACTACTAGAAATAGGCGACGGACCAAAAATCCGTCGGAAATTTTCAACGGAATTAAATTCTGTCGGAAATATACGACGGATTTCCTACGGAACACATATCCGTTGGAATTTATGGGTTTTCCGACGGAATATTCCGTCGAAAACTTAATTTTTCAACGGAAATAAAATCCGTTAGAAATTTCCGAGGGAATTTTCCGTAGGAAACCTAATGTTCCGACGGAAATAAAATCCGTCGGAAATTTCCGACGGATTATTCCCTCAGAAATTACCTTTTCCGACGGAATTTTCCGTCGGAAAATAATTAAATAATAAAAAAAAACAAAACCTAAAACCACGGTCATACATACCTCCCCTCTTTTCATTTCTCATTTCTCTCTCCTCTCTCTTCGCCTCTCTTTCCCCTCTCCATCTCTCGTTTCTCTCTCCTCTCCTCTCCTCTTTCCCTCTCCTCTCCTTTTTCCTCTTCTCTTTCTTCTTCCATCTTCTTTCCCTTCTCCTTTAATGTCTGAATAACAACAATGGCTACCCACCCACCGTCAACAATGGCTAACCACCAACAACAACGACGCAACATCGAACAACGGCGCAAGAACAATAAAGCGATAACCACCGACAACCACCGTTCGAGCAAATCCAAGTTTCGTTCGTTCGTTTATAGTTTTTACAATTTGTAATCTTGTTTTTTGTTTTTTTTTTTGTCAATTTGAATAGATCTGGTATTTGTTTTTTTGTTTCGATTTATATTTGTTTCGATTATAATAAAAATCAAATCTTTATGACTGTATTTGGTTTCAATTTGTATAGATCTGGTTTTTTTTCAATATTTTTCGTTTTTTTGTGTTTTTTTCGTTACGGTGGGTATGTTGGGCTGGGTGGGTGGTCTGGTTGGGTGGGGTGGGCTGGTGGGGTGGGTGGGCTGATGGGGTGGGTGATCTGGGCTGGTGGGGTGGGTGGAATGGTGGTTACGGTGGGTGGTCTAGGTTTGGTGGGTGGGGTAGGTTGGGGCGGTGGGGCATCTGGTTTGTTCTGGGTTGGGTTGGAGTAGTGGTGGGGGGGTCTGGTCTGGGGTGATTATGGTGGGTGGTCTAGGTGGGGGGGGGGGGTTCTGGGTATGGTTAGGTGGGTTAAGGGGGGTGGGTTAAGGTGGTGATGGTCTGGGTGGGGAGGGGGGGTCTGGTCTGGGGTTGTTACGGTGGGTGGTCTTGGTAGGGGGGTTCTGGGTGTGGTTAGGTGGGTTAAGGGGGGTGGGTTAAGGTGGTCTGGGTGGGGAGGGGGGGTTTGGGTGTGGGTGGTGGTGCCGGAGGTGGCAGGGCTTTTTTTTTTTATTTTTTTTCTGTAGCAGATTCTGACGAAAATTCCGGCGGAAGTTTCCGGCGGATTTAAATTCCGACGGACTTTCCGGTGGCCGGAATACCTCTTCCGATGAAAAAAACCCGTCAGAAAACACTGTTCCGACGGAAAAAGCCGTTTTTCCTACAATAGGTCTTTCGACAACACGTTCCGACGGAATTTCTGTCGGAAACAGTGTTTTCCGACGGAATTAAGGGTGTTTCAGACGGAATTCTTCCGCCGGAAATGACCTGTTTTCTAGTAGTGTGGCCCTGGACGTTGTTCACCGGATCCGTCATTTCTGCCATAGTATTCACCACCACGGTCAGATCTGACTTTCTTAATTGTTTTCCCAAGTTGATTTTCAACTTCAGCTTTATAAGATTTGAACACGTCCAATGCTTGAGATTTCTCATGAATCAAATATAGGTAACCATAACGAGATAATCGTCTATGAACGTAATAAAATATTGTTGACCATTCTAAGAAGCAATTGGAAATGGTTCACAAATGTCCGTATGTATTAGTTTTAAGACATCTGAAGTTCGTTCAGCTCCTAATTTCCTTTTGTATGTTTGTTTCCCTTTGATACAATTAATGCATACATCAAAATTCGAAAAATCAAGGGAATCGAGAATTCCATCTGACACAAGTCTTTGAATTCTTTGTTTAGAAATATGCCCTAAACGTTTGTGCCAAAGTGATGAAGAATTCTCATTTGCTAATTTTCTTTTGGTACCACTAGATCTGACATGCAAACTTTCATTAGATGAAGCAATAGTATCCAACAAATATAGGTTATCAAATCCAGATAAAGAACAAGATCCAACTAACTTTGAATTATAAAAAAGACTAACTTTATTGTTTCCAAAGGAACAAAAATAACCAGATTTGTCCAATGTAGAAACAGAAATTAAATTCCGCCTAAAAGACGGTACAAAAAAAGCCTCTTTCAAATCCAAATGATATCCAGTCTTTAATGACAACCTAAAAGTGCCTATAGCTTCAACTTCAACTGCCTTGCCATCACCCACAAAGATGTATCTTTCACCATCACTCGGTTTTCGGCAATTCAGACAATCCTGCATGGACACATTTATGTGAGTAGTAGCACCAAAATCTACCCACCAAGTGTGTTTAGGTAGCGAAATTAAATTAACCTTATGTGAGTAGTAGCATTGTTTCTTCTTGTGAGTCATCCCACCACAGAAGAAGCATTCAGATGCTTTTGATCCCACCACAGAAGAAGCATTCAGATGCTTTTGATTTAGCCTTATCTTCCTTATGTTGCTTCTTTTGTGGTTGCGAAACCGCATCCTTACCCTTTTTCCTTTTCTTGCCATCCTTAGGGGAAGATGGAAAGTGAGCACTTTCTGTCTTTTCTTGCTTCAATTTCTCTTCATATTGAACACAATGAGAAATGAGCTCATTTCGAGTTCATTTCTCCTTTTGACAGTTATAACTGACCTTAAACTGACTGAACTGTTTAGGAAGAGATAACAAAACCAAATGCACGAGCAAGTCATCAGACAGCTCTAACTTTAGTGCCTTTAATTTTGAAGCAATATGAGATATTTCCATAATATACTCCCTTATGTTCCCTGTTCCTTTATATTTTTGGGAAACAAGATTACTCAAGAGAGTACTTATTTCTGCCTTTTCGCTTTTAGCAAAACGCTTTTCAAGTTCTATAAGGAACGATTTGGCATCATCCCCTTCGAACATAGTGCCCCTAAATGATTCCAAAATTGCACATTTCATGATCATAAGACTCATGCGATTTGAACGTTCCCACTTCTCCATATTCCCCTTTTCAATAGAGGAACTGGAATTCGTAAGAGCAGCGGGACGCTCAATCCGAAGAACAAGGTCTAGATCCATGCAACCAAGAACGATCACAACATTCTCTTTCCTACCCTTAAAGTTTGTCCCATCAAGCATGAGTATAGTATTAATGTTGGAAGATATCACATTAGCAGAAGTATTCACTGAAGAGAACACAAACAAACAAAACAAGCTCACAATTAATACTAAAATTCAACTTTAATAATCAAATTAAAATATTGATAACACATCCTATCACGTATAAGAGACCTAGCACAACATTAATTTTTAGTCTTTGGACAGAAAATTAACTTGTAAGTGATCCTCTTGGTGTAGTAATCAAATATTAACAATAAAATCCTGTCAAACGTTAAGCGTTTCTTTGGACCGACTTGACATTCACATGGAAAACATTATAATTGTTACATATTTATTACCACAAGCATGTTTAATTTTCGGTTCTTGTCCAAAAAAAAAAAAATCCGGCCAAATATCAGCCTTCCTTTCGACCGATCATTAATCGCATGAAAATTAAACACACACATAAACATCTTAATATTATAAATAAATTAATATACACAAAAGAGGTTACTTTGGTAGCATATTGTTTTAATTAATAAACCCAAAATATGAGACACATTATTATTTTTACCTCATTGTCAAATATAAAAATCTGATTTAATCCTTAATACATGTACAAATTAATCATGCATTTATATTACTCTTGATTAATTCATGCTCAATGATTAGATAAAGAAGACTGCAATATATACTAACATCCAATCAAAGGGTACGATATGATATTACAATATAAACGAATGATGAATCATGAAAGCATTAGCATATAGACCCTAATCAAATCATGCATATTGCTATGGTAATAAGTAAACACCATTTCGAAAAACAAAATCAATGGTCATATGAGACAAAATAGCCGAAAAATTCGAAGGTCGCATATTCAATCGTAGCGGTAAATTAACAATACAATCAAACCATCATTCACACGATTATATACTCAAATAAAACGAATAAGCCAAAACGAAACCATAATCCATTATCATATTTCAAAAATTCACGAACAAGGTAACATGCCACATGAATTTAATCGAAAAACAAGACGCAATAGCTTCATGATAATTCGTATCCAATCATACAATCAAACCAAAATTAACGGAATGAAATTAACCAACTAATCCAATATGAAGGAGGCTCTGATACCACTTGATAGGATTAATTCCTACTATATTCTTTAATCTTCATATCAAATTAATCGGTAAATCTTAATTGCGGAAGCGTACCTGATTCTATGATAATTGATCGAGTTCCTTCTTGATTATGCGTCTTCTAATAAATACACATTTTAGGGTTTCTCTCTATTGATGGGATATAATTGAGAGTCTAATGTATGTACTACTAGGGACCATAACCCTAGATGTCTATTTATATAGACCCCCTTCCCTAATCTGCCCATCATGCATTAGAAAAGGTCCAACGGTCTTTACACATAAAACTAAACTCATACTCTATAAAAGACGTAATAAGCCCAACAATAATAATTACTTAAATGGATCACTTTATTTTTGGGCTAAATTGTATGATAGCGTATAAATACAATCATAACCGAATAGTCTACATACATTATTGTATTTAGGTCCATAAATTTCTTACAAAACAATACTCACACTTGCATTTAACAGTATGTATTTTATCTACTCTCTAAATTTTCATTTTAAAACGGAAAATTAAGAGGAGGGCCTAAGAACTTTTAATTGCACAAGGCCTCCATAAATATTATTGAAATGATCGGCCTGCCCACCCCTTATCATTGTTTAAGTTGTTTTGATTAATTTATCTTCTACTATAGTTTTTAAGGCATGTCAATTATATTATCGTAGAACTTAGTTACAACAATTACAAGTATTTTAAAATGAAGGAAATATACGTTATGAATAAAAATAAAACGTAGTCGAACTATGATGATATAGGAATGAGCAATACTATGTTGAAGAGAGGAAGCAGTATTTGCATATATGTTGCCAAAGATAACCAATATTTTGTCTCCATTAAAAGGTTAAGGCAATGGCCCAATTCAAGCATCTCCAAAATCCAATGATCGTGACAAGTCCAAGGATAATGCCACTAGAAGAGTAGTAAGGGGACCATGATGGCCATTCGCTGCTGATCGATCGAGTAGCCATTTTCAAGGCTGCCCAAGAGCCACCAACAAGGCTGAAGACAAGGCCCGAGGCCGGGTCACTGACTAGGTGAAAGACAAGGCTCTTGAGAAGAGAAATGGAAGGCTAGCTCCAAGATTCTTGTTAAGAATTCCAAGACCATAGGAGGTCCAAAACGGCATTTAGAGAATTGCATGTTGATAATCTAAGGTTGTTTTAACTCAATTCAATTCTACGTTACAATTGAAAGTTTTAAGTAATATCTAAATGAGAGTTTGGGTGACACTTAGCTAATAATCTTGTAATCTTATAATGACATTCCTATCATTACGTTTTCCTTAAACAACCTACCTTCTTATGGTTGCTTTTCCTTATTTGCTATAATGTAAAGAAATTAATCTACATTTTTCATTAATAAAAACAACTCTTGGATAAGAAACGATAATGATTGACGAAGGATATACTCTATAAGATTACTCGATTTGATTTCAACGGTTTATTCCTAATAGTTTACTTTAAAGTACTTGTATGATATACAACAGTTACTTTTTTTTTTTTTTTTTTTTTTTTTTTTTTTTTTTTTTGTTCTACTTATTTATCGATGAAGAGTTAGGGATTTTTTTTCCCCTTCTACTCCATTTTAGAATTGATGGATAGGGTTAGTTGAGCCCAAAATACTTCGTACAAAGTAGTAACTATAACCCCACCACAAAGAATTTGCAGTAACTCATAAACTAATTAAAAAGTATACTTGTTACTTGTTAGGTGAGATATCAACCATTTATAGGTGAGCAAAGTGTACGAGTAGCTTTCTATCAACCAAAAAATCAATGCAAAAATCAAAAGCACAACTCAAGAATCATACATGATATATATGGTAATCATTACAATAAACATAATGAAATTTGCATGTCAATGTTCAACATGTAAAATGAGTAACTAATTAACTAGCACAACAAATTAATCCATCAACAACATATCATTAGATTTATTTACAGTTGAATATATATTATTCAAAAGGAGAACATTATCATAAAGCTAAGTAGAGGCTAATAACAATGATATATAAGAAAGATTATATTAACAAACCATGATTCAATTCGAAAGGGCGGTAGCTTAACTAGCTAGGCTTAATCAAGCCAAGATAGGAAGGCCACCATAATCCATCATACAAAGCCTTGATTCATCCATAAGACCAGGGCTTAACCTAAACATGAGAATACAAAATTCCATTTGACTAAGAGCTCCATCTCCATCAAGGTCTCCTTCTCTAAGCATGCACAAAAATTCATCATCTCCCATGTCATTCAAACCCAACAAAAAGGAGTTCCTCTTCAAGCTCTCGAACGTGATAACCCCTTTTTCGACATCCATCAACAAAATAAACCCGTTACATAGCTCTCCAACGAATGCTTCCGCCCCTAGTCTGGCAACCATTGATGGGAAATAATCCTCAAAATCGAGCAATAAGTCGATTAAGGCCATTTTTGTTTTTTGAAGTTAAGCAAGGGTATTACTATAGGTAGAGAAATAATACTAGAGATGGATAGAATGAATAAAAGAGCAAGCAATTGTAATCTTTGAGTGTACAAGAAATAAAGTAGTGATGACTACTACAAAATGACAAGTGAATAATAATATACGTGATTTTTGATGATGAGATTCCTTTTTATTATTGATCATTTGGCTATTTTTATGAGGTTATCAGGAGGAATTCTCTCCTTCCTGGAAGTTGCATTAGAAGATGGTAAGTATAACAATGTCTCTATCATGGGCAACGGACAATATGTCATGTAGCATTGTAGGTCTTTTGATTTTGCATGTAGACAAAACTAAATACATGCATATCTAATTTTATGTAAATAAATGAAATAACGTATGTATATATTATTGTACTGTGTTAAATTTCTCATGAAGCTTTTTGTAGCACCTTTTGTTGACATTAATTATAGTATGTTTCGGAGTTTCATAGAGTTACATTTATAGGAGAGTTTTGTCACTTTTTGGAATGTGATGCTTAATTAATTGCTTGGTCTAAGTGTACGTACATTGCAATGAATCTATAAACACTTTATACATACTCTTATACCTACATACATTACTATTACAACGGATGAGAGAAAGATTCAATAATTCAACAAACAAGAACACAACATTTCATGGTTTACTAACAACGAGTTAGCTACATTTTATTGATTTTGAGAAAATTACAGGTTAGTATAAACCTTAAAGAGTTTTTAACGTACTCCCAAAACAGAAATCGGAAAAGGCAAAAAAAATAGGCCCTAAAACCAAAAATCGTAGCTCATGTAACAAACATAAAAAGAGTCTAACTCATTCAAGGCACGCATATTCTAATAACTACCACAATGTCGCATACCATCTATGTTAGATTGTGTCTTCCTCGTCTTGGTTAAGTACATCAATCTCAACTTCCATTATTCAATTTTAATTTATATATGATGAGGCCTAACAACTCTCCATTATTTCTAGCTTTATGTGAAACTACGTCAGTTCATAAACTTGCAGAAATTGTACCTCATACATGCATGGTTAGTATGTAACCTCTTATATGCATTATCACTAACCTCATTAGAATCAATAACCTCATTTATATGTCCGGTTAGCTAGTAACCTCATTAGTAAGAATAGTAACCTTGTGTATTTATATTGTTAGGGTGCTTGGAAGTAGGGATTCCCTTACCCTACCGGAGTCTCAGCCCTCTACTCTCAAGTACCTGGCCCGAAAATACTAGACCAAAAATCGTGAGAGTCGGATTAAGGTTCAGTCAGGGTCCTACTTATCAGAAAAACAAACAATAAAAAAAATTGTCATACGTACTATCAACTAATATACAATATGTGAACCGCGTATTAGAATTTGTGTTTGAATTGTGCTTTCACCATCGCTAGAGCCAAATAATGCTTTAACTTAATTGCGGCTACTACACCTTTAAAAAATTTGAACCACTCCATTGAAATCAAATGATGTAATCCATTTTAGCTTGGAAGCTTCATCGTAGTTTCTATTTTACGGCACATTGTGAAGTTGATTTATTATTAGCCAGAAAGTAGATTGAGTGACATAGGAAAAAATAGTTGATGAATAGGAGTACTAATTTACTACCAAATACCAATTGATTTTGGAGTTATAATACACTTTCACTGGCTCACAGACTAATTAACTAGGAATCTTCCTATTGACCTTCCTTAACAACAAAAGAAAGTTCTACAACACCATCGACATGCAAAATGTACATTGTGATCGATGATAGTAGTAACGTACTTAGAAACAAAAACATAAAATACTATTAAAAAATGTAGAGATTTGGGAATGTTAGTGGGGCGAGTTTAGTGGAAACCCACCTTACAATTGACTCAAATTAGGTGATGCTGAATGAATGTGGGTGGGTGATGGGACGACTACTCTAGCTAAAGACCCATTATTCTTAAAAACATCATTTATTTCATAGTCATTCAAAGTCTATAGAAAATAATTAATTAAATACATACTTATATTATTCAATGGGTATTGTCAAACTTATGTTCATCGTAATAGAGCTTATTATGTCAAACTTATCTAAACATATTTTTAATATATATAAACTTAATTGAATGCATTTTATCTGAAATAAGTCAAAATTAATTGAAATAGAAGGACTATTAATTAAGGTCATTTTCTAATGTAACCCCAACTATTTCACCCCTCTTGTTGGCAACCCCCACATCGATAGATCGACTATCGACTAGTTTTCATCATACTAGTAATAAACATTGCTATTACCCACTTCTAAAAGACAAGTTAAAAATATACGTCATGCGGACAATTGACGTAATTAATGAGTTGTACAAGACAAAATTTTATAATTGAGTGGAACTTTTGGACAGAGTTAATACTGTACTACGTAATTGTAAATTTGTAACCAACTAATTATAAAATGTACTTAAGTTGTGGGCACACATGTGAATTACGAGGCGATTATTTGTAGCATTAACAGCCTTAGGTATGGGCTTTTGGGCTCCTTAGGCTTCTTTGTTTGCCACCTCTCGCTCCAATAAGGATAAAATGTAGTATTTAAGTTGTGAAGCGGTACAAATTTTTAACTAGACTCTAGTGTATGTAGCTTTTCCTACACCCCCTTTCTATACTACATCGTTTTATCAAGCAGCTACTTTTGCATAATTTTTTTTCCTTCCCTTCTTTACCTTCCATTCAAATAAGTACTGTATATAAACATTTTTATAGACTTCATTTTCTCTCTCATTTCTTTCACCAATTTCATTTTCTCTCTCCTCTTTTTCACCAATTTCATTTTCTCTCTCCTGGTTTTTTTTTTTAATTTATTGTTTTTCAATTTTCTCTCTCTTCTTTCATGGAGATCAATATAAGTAATTCTTACTTTTAATGATAATTAATCAATTGTTTTGATAATGCTTTGTTTTACAATTGTAATTGGATGATTATAATGATCTGATTTCATAGTGTTTGTTGTATTGACTTTAATTTTGATAATGCTTTGGTTTTGTTATTGTTGTTATTAGTTGATTAATAATTTAGTTTGTATTGTTCATCTAATTCGGGGGTTTTTTTTTTTGTATTTTTTATTGTTGTTTATTCCAGTTTTGTGCGTTTCGTATGAGTATATATTGTTGTTTTAATTTTGCTATTCGATTATTTTTACCAGTTTTGTGCGTCGTAAAAAAATAATCTTAGTTAAAATAATGATCACTTCTGTAACAGTAAATGTTCATTTATATTTAATGTATTTTTTATGTATTAAAATACTTGTATATGTTTATTGTAGTTGTATTTGAATACTTATGTTGTACATGTGAATTTCAATTATTTTCATTGTTTTATAAATGCTCATATACATTTTAACTAGTGGATATATTTTATATTTGTTCTGTTGTAATAATGTTCATTTATGTAATTATAAATGTTCATTTATATATATACTTGTGTTTATGGAATTATATATTGTACATGTGACTTTTTTTAATGATTATCACTATTTTGTAGTTTCAGAAATAATGTTCAGTTATATGACGATAGATGATCATTTATGTTTTACATTTGGTAATTCAACTGTAATTGACCAAATGCATCATTATAATTGAACATTATTGCTAATGTAATTTATTACATGTTACATTATTACAGTGGGAAAAAAGTATATTATTATTTTTGAAGAAGCAAGTAAGTCTGAGTTAGTGGGGAACGAAACAATTTAAAACTGCTGATGAAGTTTATGAAATGTGTTCAAATTCCAATTATATGGTCAAGCAAATAATCAAGTTGCTACTAGTGTTCAAAAGATCGAGTGCTCAACTTCCTCCCATTATCTTCCAAAAATGTAAAAATTCCTATAAATGCTCAAATGGCTCTAATATTTATAAGAATATCTTTAACCTTTTGTTATTAGGATCTTACTAACGAGCGCCCCGGGGCGTTAGATAAGGTTAAATTATATTGGTTGAAATAGTATTAAGTTAGGAATTCATGACAAAATCATGCGTCGTTCGGTGCAATTAATGTTAATTTTACTCTAATATTTGCACTTTAATTCTCTTATCTAACGCCCCGGGGGCGCTCATTAGCTTTTGCCTTGTTATTAAGTACTATTCTTCTTATTGAATATTAATTTTTTTTAAAATCTTCTATAAGTGAATATTTTAGTATTTGTAATTGAGCATTTAGTTTTTAAAAATGATCATTAAGTTTTTGTAAAGAATCATTTAGCTTTTGTGAATGATCAAAATTGATTAACATAATACTTTACATAAAATCCGCAATTTTCATATAAAATTGTAAGAATTATTCTATAAACAAATAATATCTACTCCGTATCAAACTTTAAACGTATAAAATTAAATAGTTAATCACATAGAGTAATTCTGTTAACAAATAATATCTACGAAGTATAAGTTTTATCAACCAGCTATGGACATATATCTATCCATAAGTGAACATATTATATTATGCCTTTGCAAATTTTCTTGATGTTATTCTATTATTCTTAGACTCATGGTTTTTCTTCAGTAGCATTAGTTGAGCAGTGTATTGCAATTTGCATCCCCAACCTTGTGATTTAGCCTACATGTTAATGAAAATGAATTGTTATTAAAATAAACAGTACATTAAGTGTTATATAATTGAACATTATGTGCTACAAAATTGAACACTAAATACTATAACTTGTTTATTAAATTTTACTTAAAATGTTAGCTTTAAAGGCACAAACCTAGATTTTCGACTTATTGTTCTCTTTTTGCCCAGATTTTTAAGAAATTTCAAAGTTGAATTGATGGTTTATATATACTTCATTTATTTTATGATAAGAATGTATAAGTATAACTAAGCGTTATATTTATGAACATTTAGTTATCTATATTTGAACATACTTTTTTAATTATGTATGAATGTGTGTCTTGAGTTTGTTAAAAAAAAAGTGTATCTTGAGTTGTACGTAGGTATACTATCTTCTTTTCACTTAAAATGGTACTTCATCCGTTTTTCTTTTATTGCACCATAAGGACTTTTACACTATTCACTTTATCTTCTTTGACCATCTTTTGTGATTTATCCTTTAGGAAAAATATAGTCATGTGGGATCTAGTTACATTCGTCTTGAAATCTACTTTTCAAATATCAATTTTTTATAATTTTCACAAAAGTATAATTAAAGATATTAA